TGGTATTTTCCTGTGGTGGTACTAGCAGCTCCTGGAGGAGACAGAGGGGACTGGCTGCCCGTGTCCTGGAGCCCCCCGGTGGAATGGGACCTCAGCCACTCCTTACCCTCTTCATTGGACGTCTGTCGAGAGGACGGTGGGTACCTGAACGCACCACGAGAGGGAGAGGGAGGCAGGGTGAGACAAGATCAATAACATGTGAATAAACAACACACACACACAGGTCCCTGAACGACCCGGAGCGGCTGATGCCCCGCGGTCGATCTTCCAGGGAGGTTGTGCTGCCACCCAGTGGATGATCTTCTTCATACAGGTCAAATGAGTCCTGGGCGGGGATGCTGTTGGAGCGGCTCATGCTGGTGGTGTTTGGTGGCAGGTTGTACTGGCTGATGTTGGTGGGACTCACTGTGGGGGAGGGGGGGCAGGAGGAGGAGGGGGGACAACAGGTGAGGATCAAATCAACTGGAAAGGTTTGATTTTCAGACGGTGNNNCCCTCCTTACCCTCTTCATTGGACGTCTGTCGAGAGGACGGTGGGTACCTGAACGCACCACGAGAGGGAGAGGGAGGCAGGGTGAGACAAGATCAATAACATGTGAATAAACAACACACACACACAGACACAGACACACACACTGTTTACCTCAGTCCTTTCTTGGGGAGTGTGTTTCTGTCCAGAGGCATGCTGTCAACACAGAGGAGGAGGAGGAGGAAGAGGAGGAGGAGGAGGAGGAGGAGGAAGAGGAGGAGGAGGAGGAGGAGGAGGAAGAGGAGGAGGAGGAGGAGGAGGAGGAGGAAGAGGAGGAGGAGGAGGAGGAGGAGGAAGAGGAGGAGGAGGAGGAGGAGGAGGAAGAGGAGGAGGAGGAGGAGGAGGAGGAGTGTGTTAGATAAGACTGAAACACACACACATGTATGGTGTATGTTCAACATGGATGTATTTCAACACAGGGACGATGTTGATGTTGATGTTGGACTAATTCAACACAGAAAAACATCTGAAAAGACATTTTCATCATTGAACAATCATTGAATCAGACCTGGACCAGCAGAGTCTGCACCTGGTCCAGGACCAGGACCAGGCCACAGGGACAAAACATATTTTATTGAATATCTGTAATTTTTAATTTTTTTTAAATGCATTTTGACTTTATTAATAGTGGGGGAGGTGGGGGGGGAGGTGGGGGCAGGTGCAGGGGCGGCGCAGCGGAAAT